ATGGATGGATGGATGGATGGATGTTCTAACAACCTCACTGTACACCACCTACTCAGCAGCAAATGGTTTTGTTTTTCATGAGTTGAATGTTTAAATTAATTTCGTGAGAAACTTGTATTTTGTTTTCACTAAAACATCTGTTTGCATTTTCCTTTTCTTTTGTACAGTCTGCTCACAGAGTCCAGGTCCTGAGCACAAAGCCTCTGAAATCACCACAAACATATCAGTGATCGTATCACGACGTCTTCTGCCTGCTGCTCAGTCAAGGCAGAAAAGGCATCTTCTTCCTTTACCCGAAGGCCCTTTTGATCATGGCAAACTGAAATGGTATTCATGGAAAGGTTCTCTCCCCAATGGATCTGTTTCAATTTATAATGATTATGCTAAACGCTATGAATTTGTCTGCAAATTGCGTGCCATTACAGCTTCTTTAGCCCCAGCAAGGATTCTCTATGCTAAATACCTGTTGAGGGCTCCGAGAGTGGTGCCCATTTTTTTTGAGATCCTTGTGAACGAAGACGATTTCAAGATCCTGGAGTGGAAGGACGGCTATTATGGTTCACTGCCCCAAAACTCAGTCATGTGCTGGTGTAGAAATATATGTTGGGAAAAACAAGTATGGTCTTGGGAAGGTGGTTCCTGAGGAACAGTCCTTCTTTCTTCCTTGGGAAGGTAATGAGTACTGGTACAGGAGCTTCAAGGTCCTGACCACCGATAATGATGTTGAGAGCAACCTCATGACTGATGTCAGGTACAACACTGGTGGCGCCACAGTTGTCTCGTATCCTCCTGAGACTATGCATGTTTCTGTTGTCACCAACTATGAGTGTAATCCAGTGTCACAGTCAACTACTCTAACCAAGACAGTCCGGGAGGAGAAAAGGTGGGCTCTTGGCTCTTCCATCACACTCGGTGTCAAGACAGAATTCAAAGTAGGGCTCCCCAGCATCGTGTCCGCAGGTATCGAGATCAGCGCTGAGACATCATTCCAAGCCTCAGGAGGAAATTCTGTGACAGAAGAAGTCTCCCATTCTGTGTCTCTGAACCTCTCTGTCCCTCCAAACCACTCCTGCACAGTGCGGATGGTGGGTTATAAGTACAAGACAGACATCCCTTTCACTGCACGCTTTAAACGCACCTACAGCAGCGGGAAGGTGGCATGGACGTCCATCTCTGGAACCTACGACAGCGTCCAGGTTGGGGAAGTTAATGCTGTTGTAACCCCTTTAAAAATGCAGTGGGTTAATTTAATGTATTTCAGTTGAATTCATGTTAAATAGTTCATTTTGTGTAAATTCATGAAGGAGGCATGGTCGTAATTTCTTTGTGTGACCAGAGGAGGGCGCTTTATGTTATGCTGACTGGAAGGAATTTGGGCCTGTGTGCATTGCATTTTGGGAAGAAGACAGCTAGAAATGAATGGCCGATGCTTTGTGGAAGGAGTGCACTTTATTTTTCATAGTTACAGAACTGTATGCTTCTGAGTTTCCCAAGGAAGTGCCCACAAGACTGTAGACAGAGCGGATGTTTTGTTCTTTGTTCATTAATGAAGACTCCGGTGAGTTGCTGTGCTGTCTTGTAGGGATAGACGTACGATGCTAAGTCGCTAACGGCTAATCGAGACGCGCGATGCTACGTTGCTAGCGGCAAATAGATAGATGTGCATTTTCAGTTTATGAACGTGGGATGTTAAACATTTATGCCATAAAACCAATCGGAGTTGATTGTAAATGTTCTTAAATATGTTAAGTGTGTTTAAATTCATTTTGAAATAAGGAAAGATGCATTTTGTGAATGTAAAAGAGAAACATGATTGAGAGGAGAATAGAATTAATTTGAGTAACATGATTCATATAGTACTGTTAAAAAATGGCACACTAATGGTGACTTGAGGTCCTAATATCTCGTGCTACAGTTGCTTATTATTTTGTGAGCTGTGTTATTAGTTACACTTAAGAAAAAGAGATATAATTCTGTACAGAAATTCATGATTGCTGGTGACTTCGTGCTCTGCTATGCAGATTGGTTTCTTTTGTCTGCCGAGTGCTGGATCTGCGTCGAGTTATCAGCGGTGATTTCAACCAGGTTTCCCGTCAGAGGCGTGGCGGAGTTGAAGGGGATGTTAATCCTCCACTCTCATCACCTGTTGGAGAAGTGCACATACCTGGAGAGGAGCCTGAACCGCGCGCAGTAACAGTTCATTACACACACACTACCCGGGTAGCACACACATAAACACAAATTGACTTTGACTGACATGAATGCAGATTCAACTGACTCTATTGACTTGATTCACTGAACGTTGATTCAAGAACAGCTATATGCTGTGAGAGGACAATTTATGTTATTGTTGTTTACTATTTTTTTTCTATTATTGAGGATTTTGAAGCAACAACTGTTTCCAATTTGTTTTTGATGTTGGAATAAAACTACTTGTGTTCACTACATGCTAACCTCCCCTCACTCCTTGAGACGAATTAGGACACAGTGTTATCCCAAGTGGTTTTACAAATCACAAAGAGTTACTAGGTCTACACTGTAGTAGATCAGTGCAAACCTGTAGGTAACACCAGCCCTTGCCCCGAGAGGGCGTCATAAGATAGAAGGCATACAGTATGTAGGACACCTTTAAAACTCTAACGTGATTGTGATCCTAATTCACTGCCTGTTCCTCAAAAACAAATGTGTGTCAAGACAATACCTTGGACATGTTTGCACCTACATATTCAAATAAATGTAATGTCTAACTTTGACCAATGGTGTTTCATTTGACTCAAGTCAGGCAACACAGGTGTGTTCCACAAAAAACACAAATGGGTGCGACGACAATAGCTTGGAAATGTTTGTATTACATATTACATGTCAAAATAAGTCCTGCTTTACATATTCACCTAAATATGACGTATAACCCTGAAAATCTTGTATTCACGGTTTTAGTGACCATATAAGCTGCTTAACAAGTGTTAGAAAGGAAAACAACCACAGTGGGCGAGTTGTTATCTCATTTCTTAAGGTGGATTGTGATCATGAGGGTTGTTTTGTGCACAGTTAGCAATAGAGCGTATAAAAATGATGCACCACAGTATCACCTTACAGACACAGAATCGGACACAGATCCAAAATAAAGACTTCAGATTTAATATATAAAAAATACAGGCCTCACAGATGGAGTTCAACGCCAATGAAGTCAGTCCACATTTCATTGCTGGGAGCTTGTTTTTTGGAGGGTTTGTGTTGCTCTGCCTTTATCTGTAAAATACCCCAAGTCTCTGTTATTGGATTCAAGCCAGGTGGCGGACTTGTCCATGTCGTAGTTTTTCCTCTTATGAAATGCTTGTTGGATTTTGGCAGCGTGCTTCAGATGGTTATCGTGCTGTAATGTTCCTCTTCCTCTGCAGACTCATCTTTTGCTCT